AAATATTAATTAAACACCATTGTATTATAAATTAAAGCTTCTGTTTTTTTATTTAAAAAAACAGAATGAAGCTTCAATTTGACCATTACTTGTTACCACCCAAAACTTCGTAGAAGGTAAGAAATAAGAAAACTTAATTGATGTTCCATTTTATAATTAATCTAATCCATAACTCAAAGCTAAAACATTGTCATAATAACTATGGAGTATTATTTTAGCTTCATTGAGAATGTACTTAATTGGTATTTTTAAATTAGCAAGCTTAGCTTGTTAAATCTGTCCAGAAAATTGAGTCTGGTGGAAGCTTTCTTGCTTATAGTTGAGTCATAAACTTAATTATAATCATTCTGCAAGAAAACAAATTTTGCATTTGGTCTCTGTGCAAATTCAATGATTCTTTGAGTTGGAAAAAATCATTTCATATTCTCAACATAAACAAGAGACCGACGATTAATCTCAAATATCAATAGTGCATCAATGATGATGCCTTCAAGAAAACCCATGAGATTGAAGCAGGAAACCGTGGATAGTATCCATCCTTGAAGAAGAGCATCAAATTGAAACCATTCAGTGTCGTCGGCGGATTTGGCGACGGTGGTGCCTTCAAGAAAACCCATGAGATTGAAGTGGAGGACGAGGAGACGGAAGAGACGGCTCCACTTCTTATAGTTGGGTTCGGAGATGCTGAGTTGAACATGAATATGGAATTTGATGTTGGAGATTGTGGTGAAGGCAAGGTGGGGAGATTTGGAGGAGTTGCTATTATCGGAGGAGACGGAAGAAACCTCGGCCATGGTGGATTGCCGGCGGCGAGGGAATCTGCCGAGAGAGAAAACCGAGAGAGAGAGTTGGCTGGGAGAGAGAGAGCCGAGAGAGAGAGAGTTAGGGTTTGGGGGAGCTGTGATTGATTATTGCTCTGATACCATGAAGAATGATTAATTTCCAATAATCATAAAGGGGAGATTACATGTGTATATATACAAGAGGGTTTCCTAGTTAGGGTAGGAAACATATTAAAGGTAATCTATATACTTAAGGTAACTACAATAATTACAATATTAAATATAGTAACAATATATTTAACAAGAAGACTCTGTGGAGTTGGTCGCACATCTCCCGCGCCGCCCCTTCGATCCAACTGCGGGAGACGTGGCGGATACTAGTGTGATCTGCATTGAGGAGTTTGAGCCGGGGGAGGAGCTATCGATGTTCCAACCGTGCTCCCACCCGTTCCATGAGCACTGTATTGCCGAGTGGGTGGCTCGCAGTTCTTCCCTAAAGTGTCCCATATGCCGAAGGGTTATTGGGTCTCAGGAGTAGGCTGGCGGGCAGGGGGACATGCCGGCAGAGTCGTTAGCTCGGCTCCGGCCGCTTGGTGCCGCCATGGCTCCGTCCTCGTTGGCAGTAGTATTGCTTCGTCCTCCGTCCTCACAGGCCTTAGAATTTAAAAAAGACAAAAACCTAAGTTGGGGGGATCACATGAAGATTCATGCACAGTAGTATTGCCTGTGATTCGTGCACACCATAAGGGACCACGCACGTTTATTTGATGATTATATTGTTCACATCACATTTGTTATCTAGCCACTTCTTAACTCACATATTTTAAAACTTTAAGTTGAAGATGAACTTTTTTGTAAATTATTCATGGACCCATTTTTGAAATTTACATATATTTGAACTTCATGTAAATTAAAAGTTGTTAATTCAAACTTAGCTTGTATATAATTGAACCAAGTAACCAAATAATTAATTTAACAATATCAACAGATTTAGTATAATGATAACTCTGCTGGGTATGGGGTCAAAATTTATGAAATAATCTTAATTATTACCCCATAAAAAACAGAATGAAGCTTCAATTATTTGACCATTACTTGTTACCACCCAAAACTTGGTAGAAGGTAAGAAACAAGAGAACTTGCTTGATGTTCCATTTTATTAATCTAATCTATCCATAACCGAAAGCTAAAACATTTTCATAATAACTATTATTTTAGCTTCATTGGTATTTCAAATTTAGCAAGATAAGCTTGTTAAATCTGACTCCTATCAAATTAACATTCTGCAAGCAAACAAATTTTGCATTTGGTCTTTGTGCAAATTCAATGATTCTTTGAGTTGGAAAAAAATCATTTCATATTCTCAACATAAACAAGAGACCGACGATTAATCCCAAATCTCTGTTGAATATTACAGCGGGAAAAATAAAAGTAAAAATAATCCGAACTTATAAACCATTCGGATTTTACAATTTAGAATAAAAACAAGAAGATTGAAATTGCGGGAAGCTCGAACGGACAGAACGGGAACACCAACGGGCAGAGGAAGAACACGAGCAGGAGGTCGCCGGAGCAGTTTCTAGAAATATAGTTAAGGAAAGTGGAGTCGCCGGAGCTTTCCTTAAGGTAGTATTGCCCGCCTCCCGGACTAGCAAACGTGGGCAATCTCCTCACAGGATAAAACTGCAACGTGCTAAGTCTAGAGCAGTAGAACAAAGCACCGGCGAACGAGAACGACGGGAAGTTATCGCCGGAGAAGATGATCAGAAACGGGGATTAGTCGGAAAGCTTTCAGTAACGCAGAGAGGGTGGGTTTTTTTTCGAGTGTATCCATCCCTGCAACCGACCCCTCCTTTTATACGAGAGGAATTGGCTCCTCAATTGGGCTGGACGGAGTTACCGAGGAGTCTCAAGCCAACCCTTCGCCTCCATGCATGCATGCTTTAAACGGTCGTCACTTCGTTAATAACGAAGTGTACACGCGGTTTGATTCGGTCTCGTAAAAAGCTAGCCCCGCGCCCGCCGCGCCACGTCCCGACCCGACCCGACGTGCGTGCCGAGCCGGACGGCGGGGGCGGCAACGGCGCGCGAGGAGTCCTCTCCTTGTTCCTTTCATAAGCTCAATTAAATGCCTAATCTTAAATATGAGAATATGAAAGGTTCAAAAACCGGTGTGGGACAAGGGTTTTTACTCTTCCCTCATATTCAACTTTGAAAATTAATTTCTCATTCACCCGAGCACCGTTTAGGGCTTGTAATATGTCAAGACATTCGTCTTACTTACGAGATTAAACGTCCATAATTATTTCGGAAAATAAATTTGTGGACCCTACCAAATTTATGTCTGAAAATGTCCAATTTATCTAAAAATTTCCAACAATCTCAATAGTGCATCAACGATGTTGGGCAGGAAAACATCTTTTTTACTTCTTTTTTTCATTTTTTCGTCCCAATTTGTTTTGCTTTTTTGTATATAGTATAGATAATTAAATATTAATCACACACACACATAAAGAAAAATATATAAAAGCAAATGATGAATTAAAAAGGATATTCCATTAATGACGAAAAAATACATACAAGCATAACAATACAAGAAGAAGAGGAAGGAGAAGGAGAAGGAACCAAATCTACGAAGAAAAACTAACTAACTACTTCTCCACCGTCTCGCAGCGGCAGCAGCGACGACACTGCCAAAAGAGGCAGACGGCGAGGCATATCACCCCACAGATGAGGGCGATTGCCGCCACCAGGACGAGCACGATGACCATGTATCTCAGTATAGGCCTTGAGATGTTGGGGCCTTCTTCGTCCATGAAGAGGCCGGGAAAGAGAGTGGGGAGAGAGAGGAGCTTAGAGAGAGAGAGAGGAGCTCAGTGAGGATCGGAAGAAGGGTACTGAGGGGTATTTATTGGGGAAGAGGACCCCTCTAAAATATACTTCTTCCATTCTCGAAAGTACTTTCTCTTTCATACATCCAACAAACCACTTCCACTTTCTATTAAAAAATTACTTTTATCCTTACTTTGTCATATTCTACCTATCACATAATACTTTTTCTCTAATAATCTATTCATCACATTTTATTTTTACTTATCACATCAGGAGCAAAATCGAAAGTCAATTGCAATTTAACACTTCCTTATTTTTTACATTTGGTCAAAACAAGAATTGTTTTTTAGAATGGTGGGAGTAAATTTTTTTACATATTTACAGATAGAAAGATTAATAGATATTACTCGATTTAAGAACAAACAATTATAGGGAGCATTAATTTGTTAAGATTATCGACCGTCCCAAAGACAGTCCTCTGTCTTTGGCTTCGTTTTGATCCATTTTGAAAACTTAACACCTTGATTCTTTTTAGAACAATAATACGAACATTGATGAATATATTCCTAGTGATTCCTAGGCATATATATATATATATATATATATATATATATATATATATATATATATATACGTTTTACGTAGTGAACATTTTGATGGCTAACCTACAAACATGCATAGATTCTACGTAGGCTGCGTACGATACTCCTATGAATATAACGACATAGATTATAACTAAATGTTCTAGAATTAGAGGGAACAACTACTCACCTCTAGATGAAGGGATTGACGGAATGATGGAACGAGATGAACGAACAACGTCTAACGGATATATAGCTAACAATGGCTTTTCGTGTGGACCCTCCTTCTCCTCTACCTCCTCGTCTACACGCCGGAATCTCCCCACATCTACTTGTTGCCTTGGCCGAACACACCAAAGGGAAAGGGAAGAGGGATAGTTGATTGTTGAGGTGTGGTGTGGGTGGCGTGTGAATTAAATGGGGAGTCCCCTCCCTAATTCTCATTCCGTTGTGTAAAATCTAGCTTGAATAGTATGCGGTTTTTCCCCCAAACTGGTCCGAATTGAAAATCGATTGTGAATCCAGAATCAGACAGTCAAAACGAATTTAATGACATGGTCAAATAAATTTTCTAAGAACTTTTATTTTCCCCAACTCTAGTCCGGAACAGTAATTAATGATTTAAAACAATCAATTTTATTAGACCAGGCTGCAGGGCGTTACAATTATCCACCCCTTAAGAAAATTTCGTCCTTAAAATTTACCTGATCATTGATCGCTGAAAAGATTAGGATAACGAGTACGCATAGATTCCTCGGTTCTATCTTGGAGTATCCGACAGAACAAGCCTAGATATACTTAAATAGGACAAGGTAAATCCTATGCCAACTCAAACAGATATGGAGGTGTCGAATAATGTGAACATACCCATGATCACGTCATGTGCGAACTACTCAGTGCGTCCGTGCTTTGCGTATGTGCGAGCTGGAGCCTCCTAGCTGAGCGCTCGGCATCGGCCTTTTGGGCTAGCTGGACGCTGCTATCGATCTTTGGCTCTGAGCGGGCTAGGCGGCTGGGGCTGGAGCTGCGGGTGCTATCTTAAATGCCTCGCCGGGGTTCGTCGGGCAGTCCGTACGGAAATGCCCGGCCTGACCACACCCAAGGCACAAACCCTGAGTAAACCAACACTCTCCGGGGTGCCTTTGACCACAATGGGTGCAGATCGAGTACCGGCATCCGCTCTGACTCGGGTTCTTCCCGCTCTCCCGTGTAGGTGCTAGTGACGGGACAGGTGTTGACTTGGTCTTCTTGCTTGCGTGCGAGCTGCTTGGCACGGAGGGAGACCTCTTGCTGCTTAAGCTACGCGGAGGTGGACGAGGATGCGTCGTTTGGGCCTGCACGTACTCGGCCTTCTTGACAAGGACTGTATTCATGTCCACCGCATGTTTGAACATTGCGTTGATGTCAACCCGAGGGGCAGTGATCAAATGAGCTGATAAGTTGCGGCGTAGGCCCTCCACGAAGCGCTTGCACCGCTTCTCCATGGTTGGGATGAGGTCTTGCCCAAACCCCGCGAGCTCGTCAAACTTCTGACGATACTCAGGTAGTGTGAGTTCGCCTTGGGTGAACTTCAGGAACTCCTCTCGCTTTGCCTCGACGAAGTGCTCTAGAATGTACTCTTCGTGGAAGAGTCGATCAAATGTGGCCCACTGCACGGGCTCAGGGACGTCTGCTCCCACGCGCTTCCACCAGTCGTAAGTGGAATCCTGGAGTAATGCGACTGCGAGGTCGCCACGATGATCCTGTGTGGAACCCTCAGGTTCCCTAAAACTCGGATGGTTCGCTCAAACCATCGTTTAGAGATCATGTGGTCGGCAATCTGGCAGCCTAAAAATTCCTCAGCTCCATTCTTCCGGAGCTTCTCGATGGGGACCACAGCCACTGGCGGTGGCAGTGGTGGCGGTGGCGGAACGTATGCGCCAGCCAACTGCTGGAGGAAGTTCATGAAATTAGCCGCGAACTGCGGCTGATTGATGGGAACAACTTCCGGAACAGGACCCGCGCCCAGGGCTGCCTGCTCTGGGACCTGCGAAGTTGTGAAGGTCGACGCTTTTGTGTGCACTCACGTGCTCAGGCTCCCCATGTGGGACAGCCTGCCCATCGTTGCTTGCTGCTTGGCTCATTCTCTATAAGAAGAGCTTAGATTAGAACTAACTACAATATGACATATAAGTGAATTAAATAACGGTGTACCTTTCTCTGGAAGTGATGTGATGGGAGATGCGGATGTGGATTTTTTGAAAATACCCTTTGACTAAGATGACAAAATATATTTTTTTCACAAAAACCAAACCTCTCTGATACCAAATTGTAACACCTGCCTTCCGTGGACCCCGTTCACCCGCGGCCCAACGACCGGTAGGGTTACATGGGCGGTCCGAGAACCGTCCGTAACGTAAAACATTAATGCGTATCTATTATGAAAAACGGTTGGGTTTTAATTGGTGAAATAAATGCTAGGGAGTTACCCCCAAAACGTGTGTTATATAAATGCAGAGTAAAAACGGAAGTAAATAAATAAGTCCAAAATAAGTAAAACGACATATGATGGGTTCATGCCCAAATGATTAATTAATTCAAATGATTATAATTATTAAACTTGTCCGTGCGCCGCCCATCTTCCCATCATCACTGTCCTCTAGGGCTAGCACCGGTACCGTCATGTCTACCTGCTTGTAGCAAAAACAACTACACGCTCAGCAAAAGCTGAGGAGTAAATCTAACAAAAGAACATGGAGTGATAACCCATATTATTATACACATATTAATACATGTACTTAACGTACGAAAAACCACATGTTTACTAACTGATTAATTTTGTACCTGCTCGGGTACTATTACATATAACAAAATGATATACTACCACATTGAATGCTGATGTGATGAGAAACATACATGATGATGACTTGATGCATGACTTAAACTATCAGGGACACCCCTGGCTTAGTCTCACTTGACAGGATCACCCCTGCACTCCGGTTATCATACCACAACGGTAATGAACCGGGCTCGACGAAATGTCGCAAGTGGACTAGCAAAAACCAGGTGGTAGCCGTAGCCTGACTACCATATACGTACACAAAGCCCACTTGATGAAAACCCGTTGGATCCCAAAGTTTCCTGGACGGGCCCACTGTAGTAGGCGCACGAAAGCCTGACCTCCCTACAGCGGTATGCACATGATGATAAACCTAGGACATGCGTCTAGAATGAACATGATGAATGCTTGATATATTTACCTTTGGTCAAGGCCAAGAATATATCAATTAAATAGCATACATGATGAAGATTAACATTTCATGCAAAAATACAAACGATTCTGGGTCAATGTGGTCAACGGGGCTCGTTCTACAAACTGTCCAGAAAACTGCCCGGGAAACAGTCGACCGTACCCTATCGGCGGTCGACCGTGGGCTACAGTCTGGGGTCTGGGTCACAGACGGTCCACCCACGGTGGTGGCCGTCGGACGGCCAAGGGAACGGTCCACCGTCCGTAGCGGCGGTCGACCGTCTCGAAGACAGTCCTCTGTCTTTGGCTTCGTTTTGATCCATTTTGAAAACTTAACACCTTGATTCTTTTTAGAACAATAATACGAACATTGATGAATATATTCCTAGTGATTCCTAGGCAAATATATATATATATATATATATATATATATATATATATATATATACGTTTTACGTAGTGAACGTTTTGATGGCTAACCTACGAACATGCATAGATTCTACGTAGGTTGCGTACGATATTCCTATGAATATAACGACATAGATTATAACTAAATGTTCTAGAATTAGAGGGAACAACTACTCACCTCTAGATGAAGGGATTGACAAAATGATGGAACGAGATGAACGAACAACGTCTAACGGGCGGACGGCTAACAATGGCTTCTCGTGTGGACCCTCCTTCTCCTCTACCTCCTCGTCTACACGCCGGAATCTCCCCACATCTACTTGTTGCCTTGGCCGAACACACCAAAGGGAAAGGGAAGAAGGAGAGTTGATTGTTGAGTGCTTGGGGGTTACAAGTGTGGTGGAAAGTGAAGAGGGGAGAGGCTATTATATATTGAATGGAAATTGTGGAGAATTAATGGGAGAATAATGATGAATTAAAGTTGAGAAGTAATGGGAAAATGAATGGGTGGTGTGGTGTGGATGGCGTGTGAATTAAATGGGGAGTCCCCTCCCTAATTATCATTCCTTTGTGTAAAATCTGGCTTGAACAGTACGTGGTTTTCCCCCCGAACTGGTCCGAATTGAAAACCGATTACATTTCCGGAATCAGACAGTTAAAACGAATTTAATGACATGTTCAAATAATATTTCCAAGAACTTTTATTTTCCCCAACTCCGATCCGGAACAGTAATTAATTATTTAAAACAATCAATTCTATTAGACCAGGTTGCATGACGTTACAACAATAGAGTGGATGACATGGAAAAAGAACTACAACAAGTTGAGCAAAACTATGATGACAATCCCACCCCAGATAACAGAACCTTATTGAATCAAAAAAGGGCATCACTCACAAAAGCCAACAAAGATGAATTTGCCTACTGGAAACAAAAATCAAGCAGCAAATGGCTTAAAGAAGGGGATTGCAACTCTTCTTACATCTATGCCATAATCAAAGATGGCAAATGGCTAGAGGAGAATAGTGATCTTCAGGAAGAAGCTAGAACTTATTTTATGAACCTTTTCTCTTGGCAAAGAAGTGATCATAGTGAGGAGTTCATCTCTAACATTCCTAAGCTGATTACCGACGCTGCAACATGATGCTCACCAAACTACCTAATGAGAAGGAGGTAAAGGAAGCCGTTTAGAACTTAGACCCTGATAGTGCAGCTGGCCTAAATGGCTTCACAAGGGATTTTTACAGGAAAAACTGGTCAATCATGAAAGAGGATGTTACAAAATCCACCCAGGAATATTTCCTTGGCATCCCCATACCCAAGAGCATGGGGAATACGACCATTATCCTCATTCCTAAGAAGGAAAATCCTAAGACCTTTGATGATTTCAGACCCATATGTCTTGCCAACTTCATAGCCAAGGTTAATTCCAAAATCATGGCTACAAGACTGGGACTCCTTCTACCCAAGCTTATATCCCCAGAACAAGGTGGTTTCATAAAAGGAAGACAAATTCAGGATCAAATCCTAATTGCTCAAGAACTTATCCATGGAATCAACTACAAGACAAGAGGAGGTAATCTAGTTATCAAACTGGATATGTCAAAAGCTTTTGACAGAATTTCTTAGGATTATCTCAACCTTTTGCTCAGAAAATATGGCTTTGACAATAGATTCATTAATATCATAAACAACAGCCTACAAGCTGTTTATCACTCTATTCTGATCAATGGCTATCCTTGTAAACCTTTCCAACCCAAAAGAGGACTCAGACAAGGAGATACCCTCTCACCCCTCATTTTAATACTGGCCTCTAAAGGATTCAGCAAAACCCTCAACCACAAATCCAACATAAATCATCTGGAGGCCTACAGTATGGGGATAAATTTCCAGCCCATTACCCACCTTGCCTTTGCTGATGATTTACTCATATTCCTTAAAGGAAACATTCATAATCTCACCAAATTCTCCAAACTCCTTAAGGACTATGAAATGGCCACAGGTCAAATGATCAACCACAAGAAATGCCAGTACTTCACACCAGATAAAACTAGCATTGATGAGGCCATCAAAACAGGAAAAGCCCTCAACATGTAAAGAGGAACTTTACCTTTCAAATACCTAGGCACTATGATACACAAAGGCATCAACAAAAAACAACAATGCAGTGAACTCCTGGCCCACTGTTCTTACAGTTCTTGTAAAATATAACTGTCCCAACTCAGTAGGAGGCGTTATGTCAGTTTGGTACATATTAGAATTGATGAAGTGCAAGTGATCACTTCAATTTTTGTAAAACAATCCCTAAGTTAGAACTCTTAAGTTAGCCAAATATCATAAATGAAGTGTAGGTGATCACTTCATTTTTTTGTAAAATACTCCCTATCTTTGTGATTACATAATATGGGTATGATATAGGCAGTATGTTCAATCTTCCTAACAGTGGTATGATATATCATATACTTGTATGGGCACTAACACAAGAAGTTTGGGCACTCACACACAAATTTTGTGTGTGCCAAGCTAGCATATATATATATATATATTATTGAAAGGAGGTATTTTATTAAATTGCAAAATAAAGAAAAGTACAAAGAAGGGAGGACTACGCCAATGCCCCTCTGAAAATTGCAAGAAAGGAAAAACGATTGAAAAAGGGAAATTGAATGAAATCAAAATGAAAAAGATCATTCCCAGATTATAAAACCCGGGTGTTGATCGAGGGAGAGATTTCTGGGCATTATTTTCTTCGGTCTTTTCCCATCAGTGCCAATTGGACCAACGGGCCCAACGTACCAAAAGGGTCCAGAATAACTTTGGGTAGTAACTATTTTCTCCATAGTAGTAGATTTGCGACTAGGCCAGTATCTCGTGATCTCGCTCATAGTCCCTACTTCGAGATTAGGATCATAGCTTCTGGTTTTGATGGTCCTTGGCATAGCTTGCTTCTTTTTACTTCTTCTATTCTGGACTTCTTGGAATTCATGAGTTTTGAGGTTTTCAACATTGTGGTTTGACGTTTGTCCTTCCTCATTGTAAGACCTAATTTCATAATGTTGACCTTCAAGCTCAAAAGAGTGGAGGATCGGACCTATGTTGGTATCTGGAATGTTTGGTGATGTGGTTTCCTTTGTTGTATCTTCAGCCATCAGCGTTATAGTCCCTGTTGTGTCATCCTTCTCTATCTCGGTTGGAGTGTGTACAACCGTCTCCACATTCTCGGTTGGAGTGTGTACATCCTCCTCAATATTCTGTCTTGTGAGTACTGGAAATTCATCCAAGTTGATAGTATTTCCTACACAATAAGCATTTTGTGCAGTCATACCATCCATGCTTTCCTCAATTATTTGTTCTTGTGTATGTTCCAGATCTGCTTCCTTAGTTAGCTTTTCCATATCATATTGGGCCTCAGCTTCTGATTGCTCATCTACTTCATCAGAAACAGTAGCATCAGTGGGATCACACACTCCATCCTGATTAACAACAGCTGCAGTATTGGTAGTTAACAGTTCTTTTCCAGATTCAGCACCAGAATTTTGCACGTCATTGTGGCTATCAGTTGGAAAATCACTTTGAACATTTAGAGCTTGAGTATTGGGATTGTCCTCTTTACAAAAGGCAGTGAGGTTAATCTCCATAGCTTCTTGAGGTGTGAGTTCATCTCCCTTAGGCTCTGGGGATAAATCCGAGACATGATGGTCTACCTCTGACTTCTCATGTCCTGCCGTGCTTGGGTCAGTCAGGTTCGTATCACATGAAGTTTTGCTGTCAAGTTTGGGACCCAACTCACATGGGATATTGAGAATGGGCTCTATCATCATAGCAGCTGTTTTTGGCAAATTTTCCTTGGACACTTCATGCTTGGAAATGGGGCACCAGGTTTTTGACAGGTTGTTCTTGGACAATTCATTCTTGGAAATAAGGTTGTCCATAGTTGAGCATTTTCCATCTAAATGGCCGGACTTTTTACACTGAATGCAGAATTCTGGTAGGTTTTCATAGGTTACCAGTTGGAAGAATCCCAACCCGCCATCATCAATCCATATTTTCTTTGGGAGGTCTTTAGAAATATCAATCTCGACGCAGAATCTGGCCATTGATGGTCTAGTTTTTGCTGCTGTATATGCATCCATCATCAATGGGTGACCGATGGAGCTCGCAATGGAGTGCAAGGCCTTAGCATCTTGAAGATGGATGGGCAAATGGGTTAGAGACACCCAAATCGGAAAAACAGGGCTCTTAGAGTCAGCATGGAAAGAAGGGGTCCATTTGGTCACCACCATCTGGCTTCCATTGATATTCCACAGCCTTCTTGAGAAGCAACGTTGATAATCAATTGTGCATTCAAAATTTATAAGAATCAGGGAAGGAGATAGTAATCCAACGGTGAAACCTGGTTTGAACCCTATCTGCTCAAAGCTTTTACGGATAACCTCCAGAGGAGGTCTTGATTTCAAGAACCGACCCACAAGTGCGAACTGGTATGGGATTGAAAGGGAAATTACCTCATCTGGGGTGAAGGAGACAACAGGGAATCCTCTGTATCTTCCGATTCTATTCTGGGCTTCGCTTGGTTGAGATCCCAGGATGTCTGTGAAGGTCTTTTTGATTGCCGGGCGTTGGCGATGCGAGCCTCCATGTCCAAGGCCAGGAGCTTGAGAAGCCATTGGGAACGGAAGGGAGCGGCGTTATATGGCAGAGAATCCATTGTTGATTGCAGAGAGTTGTTTAGTGAGAGAAGCCATTTATATTTTATACACACACACACACACACACACACACACACACACACACACACACACACATATATAGGGGCCGGTTCCCGTGAGAATGCACCTTGTGGAGAGAAATGAGAATAAAATCTAGCCGTCGGATTTGATGCATCGTGCGGCTCAGATTGCATCTTGCGCTCAGATTTTGAGATAGTGCATTTTCGAGGGTTTATGATGCATTTCAACGTGATGCATTTTCGCACCATTTTGGTGCATCTAATTTTGATGAAATCTTGACCCTTAGATCTCCCAATCTAAAGCACCAAATTCATTCTCATTTCTCTCCTAAGATTGCATTCTCACCAGAACCAAAATCTGTATATGTATATGTATATGTATATGTATATGTATATGTATATGTATATGTATATGTATATGTATATGTATATGTATATGTATATATGTATATATGTATATATATATATATATATATATATATATGTATATGTATATAACGGTGAAATATAACGGTGTTAAATCTGCTAAGTTATGTAAGCTACAACGATCAAATTCTATTATATATAGTAAGAATACAACGGTGAAGAATTAAGAATATTGAATAATGAATTTTTGAAATATGATATAATTATATTATTATAATATCAATATTAGAAAATTAGATATTTTTTGTGATTTTTAAAATAGAAATGAAAGAGTATTTATGGGGAAAAGTTTTACCCACTACCCCCACCTCCAATGACTCTTTTAGTTGCTGCTACAAACGGCTAATGTGTCGTTGCAGCATGGTTCCCTTTCTTTCATTTTCAAGTTCAAATTATTTCTTTCTTTTTTTTGAATAAAAAATTGGTTATGTCATCGAAACGGTCCTGATCGGTTCCGGTATCCCTTTCCCTTGCCCCGCTACCGATACTATCCAAGTAAGCCTAGTCACGAGGTCCCCTACCCGCTCCATTGATTTTGTTTAAAGTTCCGAAGGCCGGTTCCTATTCCGAATCTCCCCACGTGCCTCACCAATTCTAGTCGCAGTTCCGATTCGAATTCAGAACCGTCTTGAGATCTATGGAGTGAGAGGAGGTTTTGATGAAATAGGTAAAAATAATTATTTTTACTAAGTGAATACTGTAAGGATCCTATATTCAACATTGAGCTTGTTTTCTTTATTTGATCTAACTGATTAGAATAAGTTCTAATTTAATTATAATTATATAGAAATTATCCTAAATAAGACTAAAACATAGAGAAAAGTGCCAAAATAGGACTTTCATGTTTTTTTCCCGGAATAGGACTTTGCAGTGTGGTAATGTGATTTTGCATTGTGGTAATGTGGCAGTGTACATGTGCAGATTACTTTACTTTTTTGGTAATGTATATGACCATGTTTGGTAATGTAAATCCTATTTCGGGAATAAAAACATGGAAGTCCTATTTTGATATGTTTTCAATGTTTTAGTCCTACTTTGGTTTTTCTCACATAATTATATTTAAATATGTTTCTAATTTGATTCAATTAAAAATAAGTAATCAATAATGAGATAGAACAAGCTAATTGTCACCATGTCAAAAGTCATTCTCAAATGACCCTAAAACACAATTGGGCCGAGACATATTACGGGGCAGGAGCGTATTCTCCACAAGCCGGAGCCTACGACATTAGCAGGAGCGCATTTTGCATCTTCTCACTCTCTCGTCTACTTTCTTCTGATTCTCAGAGCGCAATCCATCTTCAATCCAGCCACCGCATATAATCTGAGAGCAGAGAGTTGCAGAGCATAAATGGCGGGATTTCAAATGCAGCCGTACGGGATTCAATCGATGCTCAAAGAAGGGCACAAGCATCTGTCTGGTTTAGATGAGGCCGTGCTGAAGAATATCAGCGCCTGCAAGGAGCTCTCTGCTATCACGCGGACATCTCTCGGACCCAATGGTGAGTTCTTCTCTCACACTCGAAGAAACTAATGACAAATAATTAAGATTTTTCTAAAGCTGCGTTGTTTTAATATAATCCCTAGTAACTTAGTTTAGACACATTTCCCAGATGCGACACAAGTAGAGAAATGCACTGAACTACTTTTACTGAATACTGTGATGCTTATGTGTTTGTGTGTGTGTTTTCGTATGCATCTAGGTAAAAATATTTGCTTAAATGTTCATATCTAATTGTTATTAGAATGTTCACTCACATTTCGTGTCCTTATATTTTGAGAATTTGTGTTTCTCCATTTCATTGCAGAAAGGGTTAACAGAAACAACCAATATGTTTCTTACAGCGGGGATGCATACATCTTGGCCCCCTAGATCCCAGCATAGTTGGATTCTTGATGTTGTGTTTCCCCATGTCCCTTTTCATATGGCTTGTTCATATTTCGGTGCAGTATAGATCCTATTGAGTGGTTTAATTTGTTCCTGATCAATTATCTGTATATGAATAAGAGATAGCTGTTGTTCTCACCCATATTTGGTTCACTTTTGTTTAGGCATGAATAAGATGGTTATCAATCATCTTGATAAGCTTTTCATCACCAACGACGCTGCTACAATTGTGAATGAACTTGAGATCCAGCATCCTGCTGCCAAGATTTTGGTGTTAGCAGGAAAAGCTCAACAAGAAGAGATTGGTGATGGAGCCAATTTAACTGTTTCTTTTGCTGGAGAGCTTCTTCAAAATGCAGAGGAACTTATCAGGATGGGGTTACACCCCAGTGAGATCATCATTGGATACAACAAGGCAATCAATGAGGTCTGCATTGTCTATCATATAAGGGATATACTTGATTTTTAAACTCTAGTTCTCCAATTGAATTATCATTGTTACTAAATTTGTTGTTACAGACTATTAGAGTATTAGAAGAACTGGTCGAGGGAGGTTCTGAAAATATGGATGTGAGAAACAAGGAAGAAGTTGTTTCTAGAATGAAAGCTGCAGTTGCCAGCAAACAATTTGGACAAGAAGATATCTTGTGTCCTCTCATTGCTGAAGTAGATATCAAAATGCTTCGTTTATCTAGTTCAAGATTTTGGTCTATATTTTCACATGTACCATTAATATCGGTAGCATTTTGATTCTTTGCTGCGATGGGATTTTTTCTTATGTAGGCATGTATACAAGTGTGTCCTAAGAACCAAGCTAATTTCAATGTGGATAATGTTCGTGTTGCTAAGCTATTGGGTGGAGGTCTGCACAATTCAGCCATAGTTAGAGGCATGGTATTGAAAAATGATGCTATTGGGAGCATAAAGAGAATGGAGAAAGCAAAGGTGAGTACAAAAACACATGTTTTTTCTTTGTTTTAATCTATTAAACCTGATTTTGCAAGGAAAGTTACTGCACATACGAAGTATATTAGTATTAGTATAACAACAGTTAATGGTATTATTGAGGTTGAATTTTTGTTTCACAAGTCCCAATTTGTTTCTTGTACTTATAATACTGTTACACATGGAAATGAAAAAAATAAGAAAACTAAGATTGCTAATTGCATGCTCTAAAAGAATCATGAAGACAAGGATGCCATAATTAATGTAATGGAACACTAATTTTCTCTCTTTTGTCGGGGTTTCATGACTTTTCTAAAGGAAATTTGATGATAAAAGGCTAATGGGGAAGAAATATTCTTCTGCTTTTGTCTAATTTATGCCTTGTAATTCTTTCTACTTCTTTACTATTCTTCTGCTTTCTATTTTGTCCCCATTTCCTACTCCTTTAAACAGAAGAAATTGTGGCTGATTAAAATTCTCATTATTTTGTTTCTAAATAAATACCAATCACACAATTCAATTTCTCAAATAAGTGTGCCAAAAGTAGACGAAAAGCTATTTGGGGGTTGAGGGAGCAAGGATTTTCATGAAGATAAAAAAGAATTGCATGCAGATTCATAATTCATTTGAGGCACGGATGAAAAGTTATGGGTTTGGATTGTTATCTGCCTAGTCTATGCTACTAGTAAACATCATAGAGTTACACTTGTGCCATTTACACACTTTGTTTTTTCTCTGTTATGAAGTTAAATGCATACTTTTGCAGGTTGCTGTCTTTGTTGGGGGAGTTGATACAACCGCAACTGAGACAAAAGGCACAGTTCTTATTCATAATGCCGACCAGGTATTGCATTTAGCCATATTCCATTGATTTTTTGTACAACTGCAATTTTATCAATCAATTTATGACGTTAACTGTTTTCCTTATAGAATACTTCCTATATTTATATTTATCTCTCTAGGTTTACCACTTTTCCTTTTTTATATGTTCATCCATGAAATGTATGCACATTGAATATTTTTTCCCATATTTACTCTTTTATTATTCAATTATTGTATGCATCAGTCTTCCAAGAACATAAAAAAAATTATAATAACAGAACATGAACAGTAGCAGTTTGGAAAATGGACTTAATTTTAACAGGTTACCAACGACATACCAACCAAAGATTTAAAACCATCATTTTGAAAGGCGAGAGGTAGCCAAGAGGACCTTTCCTGTTAACCCCATGGTGAAGCACAATCTAAACCCAGTCCAGTAAGCCCTTTGATAACCTAATCTAATCCCTGGCCCAATAGAATCCCCCCATATATATATATGTGTGTGTGTGTGTGGATATATATATATTCCCATAGATATATGTAACTATATTTAAATATATGTTATTAATAAAAAACTATCCAAAAAAATCGAGAACAAACATTGAGCAAACACAGAGAGTAGTGAACTGGAGAACAAAAAAAAGGTCCTGGATGCGCCGAAGAAAAAAAAAGAGAGGCAGAGAAGATTTCAAAAGCTGCTAAGCAACAAGCTTAAAAAAGGGAGTGAAGCAAAAAATTGTGAAGCTAACAAAAAGATGAGCTACTAACCTGCTTAAAGTCAACACAGACAAGAGAGAAAGGGGAGACAGCCAGACAATGCAAAGGAGTCAGGGTGTAGACTATGTAAACCAAGGCACACTTAAGCTGTAAGCCCATAT